TGAGAGGGTGCCCCGTTCATCATGCTGGGCAAGCGAGGCCCCCAACTTGGCCAGCCGATCAGCACCGTGGTTGCCAGTGCGTTCGAAATCTGACAAAAGGCCGTCTCTGACATCCTGAGCCGAGGCGTGAGCAGGAACCTTCTTAAACCTGGCCCACTCAAGGCCTCCCGAAGCCCAAGACTGAGACCAGAGGTGGGCCCTGGGGTAAGCCGAGGAGACCGGGCGCGCTCTGTTTTTGCAACAGTCAAGCGTGCCCTTGCAATCAGAGTACAGAGTGAAATCGCCTGCACACAGCTTTGAGACGATGAAAACACTATAGTCCTCGCCGTCACGCGCCACCTGATCAGGCAAGGTGGCTGGGGGCACAGAACCATACCACTCCGCTATGCACCTGCGTGGCTCATCGGAGACGGTAACTCCCCATCCAGCAACGCGCAAGGACGGGAACAGTCCGTCTCGGCCTGAACCATCACAGAAAACATGTCCCTCGGAAAGCATGAGCGGCCCTGCCAGGCCGCCCTCAACGCGAAACTCCGTGGACGGGTCCCAGGGTTTCCTGGCCAGAAGCTGGCCCGGGTCAGGAAAGATACCTCGGGAAAAACGCTCTTGCAGCTCGACACTGCAGGTTGACACTCTGCTGGCTGCGCGCTGCACACACACGGGAAGGTTGTCACGGCGCCAGGCCGCTCTGGCTTGGCACTGGAAATGGCGATGAAACAAGGTGCCTCGCTCTCCACAAATCAGGCATTCTGACGCCAGCTCAGGATCATGCTCACTGAGTCTGTGCTGGCACCAGTGAGAACCCAGAAGGAGTCCTCTGAGCGTGCGCTGCTCTCTGACCCCCCACGAACCACCCGTCCCAATCGCCTCGTCCTCCCCGTCAATTCTTCTATGCAGCAGCTCATTCAGCGGTCGCCAAAAAAGTTCTGCGCGCCAGGCCTTGCCTGGTCCTATTTTGCCCAAGGCCGCAATGTCCGAAAACCTTCGCGCCGAAAAGCGCGCTCGCCTGGCCATGAAAGTGGACGAGACCTGTGTCAGGTCCCACGCCTGTCCCTGGGCCTCCTGCACCAAGAAAGGTCCCTGGAAGACAAACCCGATCCTCAGGCAGGTTAAGACCAGTGCGGACACGGGGTCCTTGACCAGGGTCCAGGGTTTCGGCCTCTGGGCGACCTCCTGGGCTTTCGCAAACAAAACTGAAAGGACACGCTCAGACAGCCTGCCATCTTTTAGAATCTGAACATACGTCTTGATCGCGTCAGCAGAGACTTGCACCAAATGATCTCGCGACCAACCCCCACGCGTACACATCGAAGCCAATCCGAGCGAGCATCCTTTGGGCAGCCTCCCCTCGGCTTTGACAGCCGCAACTCTTAAACTCTTCATTTTTCCATCAGGCAGCCCCTGGATGTTGCCCCCCCCAGAGAGCCTTGGCGGTAATCCCAGCCCGAAGAATTCCCCCCGTCGGGGCACCAGCCTCGCGGAGGCTGAGGACCCTGGCCACCTTGGCCTGGGCCTCTAGGAAACGGGCCTGGTGGGTCGACACTCGCCGCCTTGCCCCGTCCGTCGCGTCCCCTCCAAGGTCGCGGTGGACAGATGCCCTGGCCTCTGCAGGGAGCTGGCAGCACGATGCAAGCTGGTTGGCCAGGGAGGCTGACGACGCCAGGAGCCCAAACTTGTTCCAGGCAATCGGGAGGCCCCTGGCCTGGAAATCTTGGGTGACCAGGTTGAAAGCCAACGAAAGCTCAGTGCACACCGTGGCCTGGCCTCCGATGGACTGAAACGAAACATCATCAATGACACTTTTCAGGGTGACCGTTGGGCACGTCGAAACAACTCTGCGCAAAACCGACACGAGCAACAGGCGAGCGAGCGAGGTGGCCCCCGAACAGCCAGCAATGACGGTGCCATTCGGCGAGACGATCCTGGAGATCGCCCCCTGCCAAGATACCCGCCTCGGGGAACGGTACACCGTGCAATAAGCCCTCAAGAGGGCCTTCGGAAAGGCCACCTGCTCAGCTGCCGCTAGCAGCTCGGCGTGGCTGATATGCTCGTAGAATTTGCGAAGGTCAAGAAACAACGTACCCGAAACTAAACCTCTAGTTTCCCGAGCAAAAGCGGCCATGGCATTGTGTACCCAAGCGCTCTTGTCACAAGCAGTGGACGTGCTCATCCCCCAGAAAAAAAAGGGGGCGTCCAGCTCCGTTTCCCACGCCGCGTATCTGGCACGCCGAATCCTGCTCCACACTCGGGCCCAGAGGGGGAGGAGGCCAATAGGCCTGACCCCCCCCGACGGTTTCGGAAGAAACACGATCACGACGAGCCACAACGGGCCCACCGAAGGGTCCCGTTCCCAGGCCGTGAGGATATCGGCGAAGGCTTGGACGAGCGCGGGGGAGACCTGCAGGAGGAGCTGGGGGTGAAAAGAATCCCACCCCAGGCCCGTGCCTGGGGGAAACGACTTGGCTGCCGCCAGGACCTCCTCCGAGGTAATCGGCGGCAAGCTATCTTCGCACCTCCAGTCCCAAGGCGGAGGCTCGCCAGCTCGATTATCTTTGCACCAGATCGGCAACCACTCTTGGAGGGTCCGCTGCAGTGCTGCATCGCCTACTAGGGGAACACAATCCCTTTCCTGCTCTTCAGCAAACACGGGCTGGGGAGGCGCCGAGGGGCCCTTCGAATACCTGTGAGCAACCCGCCCCCCTCCAACGACAGACGACTGCGCCCACGACCTCCATTTCTGGCGCCCCTCAGCCGCCTCTTGGGACACAGTAGCAGCGGGAGGAGGAGGGGGAGGAGGGGGAGGAGGAGGAGGAGGAGGAGGAGGAGGAGGAGGAGGAGGAGGAGGAGAAGGAGGAGGAGGAGGAGGAGGAAGGAGGGACGAGAGTGAGGAAGGTAAGGGGGGCAGATTTGCGACGTCGTGATTCTGTTCCACAGCATGTGCCCCGGGAGGTCTGGGCCTTTCTTCCACGGCCCCGTTTCTCGCCATGGGCCGTTGTTTGACGTCCCGGGCCCGGGGTGGAGGTCCCAGGGGGATCGAAAACGGTCCGAAAGCCCCCCCCCCCCCCGCCGTGAATCTCTCCGCGCCAGGGGGGGGAGGCGGGCTTGTTCCAACTGGCGCGAGTGCCCGTGAATCTGGCCACGGGGCCACGCTGAAGATCTCGCAGGCGACTCCCGCGAGCGTGGGGCGCCGCCCACTCTTTGAGGGCACGGGCCGCCGGCGCCTGCCGACTCGCTCACCAGTGTCCTCTCGGCGGTGCGCCCTCCGTAGCCGTTTTGGCGCAAGAGATCTTCTTGCTCGAGCCACTCTGGCTCGGACGGGTTTCGCTTGGCCAGAGGAATACGCACACGCATCACCGAACCTCCCCTCGACGCGCACGCGATGATCGCCCAGAAGACGCTCACCCGTCCGTCCCTGTGGATCCTGCTCCTCGCGCACGGCGTCTTCGGCTCGACCGCCGCGTCGGAGGTTGACACTCAGGGTTGCGAGGGCGCGACCGCCATGATGGTCACGAGTGCCGTGGTGGACGCCATGCTTCTGCAGCTCGACACGAGCGACGCGCCCCGACAGGAGGCTCCCAGAGCCCCGGGCCCCCGCACCGAGGCGGACGCGGCCCCGCGCCCTGCTCCCACCGGGCGTGGGCGGAGGGCAGCAGCAGCACCAGACGAGTGGATTGGTCTCTGGCAGAACAGCAATTTTTACGGCGGAGCAGAGATTGAGATCACTCCGACGACATGGCGCCCTATCAACCCAGCAGGGCCAGTCTGGTCCACGTCCACGTATACTCTGTTGCAGGTAGACGGCACATCGTGGAGCTTGCGTGAAACGAAAGCAGACGGTACCAGTTACGATCACATCATTCAGACCGTCAGTGAAAATGTAATCCGGGTGAGTTACCCGAGCGGGGCTCTTAGTTGGGATCTGAGTCGTGTGGGGACGTTGGCGCCTACGCCAGCGCCGACGCCACCACCTACACCAGCTCCGACGCCAGCGCCGACGCCATCTCCTACACCAGCTCCGACGCCAGCGCCGCCTGGCGCCTCCGCCAGCGCGACGGGGGACCCGCATTTGCAGAACATCCACGGTGAGCGGTTCGACTTGATGAGGCCTGGCAAGGCCGTGCTGATCCAGATCCCACGTGGAAAGCCCGCCGAGGCCGCGATGCTCACCGTGGTGGCAGATGCGCGCCAGATGGGCGCACTCTGCGGAGACCTATATTTCCTGACGCTCAACATCACAGGGGCGTGGGCCAACAAGGCGAGGGCCGGCGGGTTCATCTTCACCGCCGAGGGAGTGCGCGACGAGTCGCTGAGCTGGACAAAGATCGGCCCTGTGGAGCTCAAAGTCGTACACGGCCGCACGAACCAGGGCATCAAGTACTTGAACTTGTATGTGAAGCATCTGGGACATGTGGATGCTGTTGTTGGTGGACTGTTGGGAGAAGACGACCACACCGATGCTGCGCAGCCTGCCGAGAACTGCCGCAAGGCTGTCTCGTTGGCGAAGGGAACGACTTGGAACACCGACTCCACGGCGAGTGCCACGGCCGTCTCCGAGGCTATTGCGAGCCTGCCGTAGGCTCCTTCTGAGTGCCCCGTGTTTTGTGTCAATTGCAGGGCCCATCGTTCCCTGCTCCCTGTTGCATTGGTACACGCTAGGATTTGCTCTGGTACATGCTCCTGTCCCTTTTGAGCTGCCCCCCCGAGAAGGATGTTCGCGACAACTGTGACATCGCCTTTTTGTAGCTGGTCAGCCCGAAACACGTTGCCGGTCCTCTCGGCGGTGCGCCCAGGGGGGAAGGCAGAGGGGACGGGTAATGTGGCTGAGGAGGAGGAGGGGGAGAGGGAGGAGGAGGAGGGGGAGGAGGGGGAGGAGGAGGAGGAGGAGGAGGAGGAGGAGGAGGAGGAGGAGGAGGAGGAGGAGGAGGAAGGAGGGACGAGAGTGAGGAAGGTAAGGGGGACAGATTTGCGACATCGTGATTCTGTTCCACTGCATGTGCCCCGGGAGGTCTGGGCCTTTCTTCCACGGCCCCGTTTCTCGCCATGGGCCGTTGTTTGACGTCCCGGGCCCGGGGTGGAGGTCCCAGGGGGATCGAAAACGGTCCGACAGCCCCCCCCCCCCCCGCCGTGAATCTCTCCGCGCCAGGGGGGGGAGGCGGGCTTGTTCCACCTGGCACGAGTGCCCGTGAATCTGGCCACGGGGCCACGCTGAAGATCTCGCAGGCGACTCCCGCGAGCGTGGGGCGCCGCCCACTCTTTGAGGGCACGCGCCGCCGGCGCCTGCCGACTCGCTCACCAATGTCCTCTCGGCGGTGCGCCCTCCGTAGCCGTTTTGGCGCAAGAGATATTCTTGCTCGAGCCACTCTGGCTCGGACGAGTTTCGCTTGGCCAGAGGAATACGCACACGCATCACCGAACCTCCCCTCGACGCGCACGCGATGATCGCCCAGAAGACGCTCACCCGTTCGTCCCTGTGGATCCTGCTCCTCGCGCACGGCGTCTTCGGCTCGACCGCCGCGTCGGAGGTTGACACTCAGGGTTGCGAGGGCGCGACCGCCATGATGGTCACGAGTGCCGTGGTGGACGCCATGCTCCTGCAGCTCGACACGAGCGCCGCGCCCCGACAGGAGGCTCCCAGAGCCCCGGGCCCCCGCGCCGAGGCGGACGCGGCCCCGCGCCCTGCTCCCACCGGGCGTGGGCGGAGGGCAGCAGCAGCACCAGACGAGTGGATTGGTCTCTGGCAGAACAGCAATTTTTACGGCGGAGTAGAGATTGAGATCACTCCGACGACATGGCGCCCTATCAACCCAGCAGGGCCAGTCTGGTCCACGTCCACGTATACTCTGTTGCAGGTAGACGGCACATCGTGGAGCTTGCGTGAAACGGTAGCAGGCGGTACCAGTTACGATCACATCATTCAGACCGTCAGTGAAAATGTAATCCGGGTGAGTTACCCGAGCGGGGCTCTTAGTTGGGATCTGAGTCGTGTGGGGACGTTGGCGCCTACGCCAGCGCCGACGCCACCACCTACACCAGCTCCGACGCCAGCGCCGACGCCATCTCCTACACCAGCTCCGACGCCAGCGCCGGCTGGCGCCTCCGCCAGCGCGACGGGGGACCCGCATTTGCAGAACATCCACGGTGAGCGGTTCGACTTGATGAGGCCTGGCAAGGCCGTGCTGATCCAGATCCCACGTGGAAAGCCCGCCGAGGCCGCGATGCTCACCGTGGTGGCAGATGCGCGCCAGATGGGCGCACTCTGCGGAGACCTATATTTCCTGACGCTCAACATCACAGGGGCGTGGGCCAACAAGGCGAGGGCCGGCGGGTTCATCTTCACCGCCGAGGGGGTGCGCGACGAGTCGCTGAGCTGGACGAAGATCGGCCCTGTGGAGCTCAAAGTCGTACACGGCCGCACGAACCAGGGCATCAAGTACTTGAACTTGTATGTGAAGCATCTGGGACATGTGGATGCTGTTGTTGGTGGACTGTTGGGAGAAGACGACCACACCGATGCTGCGCAGCCTGCCGAGAACTGCCGCAAGGTTGTCTCGTTGGCGAAGGGAACGACTTGGAACACCGACTCCACGGCGAGTGCCACGGCCGTCTCCGAGGCTATTGCGAGCCTGCCGTAGGCTCCTTCTGAGTGCCCAGTGTTTTGTGTCAATTGCAGGGCCCATCGTTCCCTGCTCCCTGTTGCATTGGTACATGCTAGGATTTGCTCTGGTACATGCTCCTGTCCCTTTTGAGCTGCCCCCCCGAGAAGGATGTTCGCGACAACTGTGACATCGCCTTTTTGTAGCTGGTCAGCCCGAAACACGTTGCCGGTCCTCTCGGCGGTGCGCCCAGGGGGGAAGGCAGAGGGGACGGGTAATGTGGCTGAGGAGGAGGAGGGGGAGGGGGAGGAGGAGGAGGGGGAGGAGGGGGAGGAGGAGGAGGAGGAGGAGGAGGAGGAGGAGGAGGAGGAAGGAGGGACGAGAGTGAGGAAGGTAAGGGGGACAAATTTGCGACGTCGTGATTCTGTTCCACAGCATGTGCCCCGGGAGGTCTGGGCCTTTCTTCCACGGCCCCGTTTCTCGCCATGGGCCGTTGTTTGACGTCCCGGGCCCGGGGTGGAGGTCCCAGGTTAATTAGGCCGATGGACCATTGTAGTTGGCCCCACTGGGTGAAATTGCCGATCCAAGCCGAAATGGCACTTTTCTATGGAATCTGGGAAGCCAACGAAAACTCGAGTTAGGCAGAAAAATCGTTGAACGACAGAAGTCGCAAAGGTCGCAAGTCGCAAGTCTTTGTTTGCGCAAGTTCGCAGCAAGTTGGCCTTACAGCGGTCCATCCATCGAAGCTCGGAAGCGAGGGAAAGTGTGAGGGGATGGAATCTCGGAAGCAAGGGCCTCCAATATTGCACAAAAGCGAAAAGGAAATAATTTGCCTGACGAAAGACCCACCCATATGCAAGTGCGAGTACCGCAGGGCAGGTGGGACGAAAGATGGGGCGCTCCCTATTGGGCCACGAACCGTATGAGGGGCGTGCCGACACTGAAGGGGGATCCGAAGGAAGGCCTCAGGAAGGCCGCGGACTCGGGGCAGCTTCTTTTTGAAGTGCGGTCTCTCGGAGGGCCTCGCAGAGAAGTTTTTGAAGCCCCTCGTGGCTCTGTAGAGAGAGTGTGAGAGTCCTCAGGAAGCCTCTTGGCCGTATTGGAATGCTCTTGGCGGTCCCTTGGGCCGTCTTGGACGTTTGCATGACGAAAAAAGCGAGTGAGCGAAACAGGTACGTTTCCTATAGGACTCAGAACATGGTCGACTCTTCTGGCTCTCTCGGCGGCCATCTAGGAGCACTCTTGGGCCGTCTTGGGGGCCGCGTTGGTCACCGCGCACCCATGTCGGACCGTCGTGGGATTACCTTGGGTCATTTTAAAGCCCTATCGAATTATCTTGGCGCTCTGTGTGAGCCCTCCTGGGCTGCTTCGAGCTCTTTTCAAGCTCCCGAGGCTCCAGGTCAAGCGTTCGCGAAGCCATAGGCCCGGGGAAGGCCCCCCTCAAAACGTCATTTTGGGCCCCAGGGGATCGGGAAGAGTTGAGGGGCACAGCCAAATGTCTCACACGCATTCCCCCCCCCAAGTGGGAGTGGGCGGATTTTGGAAGATTCGCACGGCAGTGGGCATCTAAGAAAAACGGTGGTCGTTGGCGCCACGATGTGGCCCACGTATGGCTGGGAGGGGCTGTCCCGCAGTTGACGACCATCATTTTGCATGCTCCACTCCAATTACACATGTGTACTTCAATTCTTCGCTTGTCAGTGCACATCTCACAGGAATGGTGGTCGTTGGCCAGCGGCCTCTGGCCCTCCCCAGGCCTTTAATTGGTTTTGATTGCTGCGCGCGGCAGCGAGCATCTTAGAATAATGTTGGCCGTTGACGCCACGATGTGTTCCACGTATGGCCGCCGGGTGCGGGGGCTGACATGTCGAGCTCCCCGCCCAAAGAGCCCCCCAGGAGTCCAAGGTCCCCAGGAGACCCCCGGCAGGCCCTCAAGAGGCCCCAAGAGGCCTCGAGAGGCCTCCAGCAACCCCCCAGAAACGCCCAAGAGAGCACTGGGACTGCCCCAACAAGACCCCGGAACGGCTGGAGGCGCCTCCACAAACCTTCACAGCGTCAAACGGACAACGCGGGAACCAACGTCATGCGCGCTGTAGGCATCCTCTTCTTTGCTGTTCTGTTTTCTCGCAAGTCATGCCCACTTGTACTCCAAGGTCGGGGTTCGTGGCAATATCAGGTTTTTCCCCGACCTGGCGGAAGGGGTCCCCGTTTAGTATCCCCCTGGGGGGGTCTGGGGGGGGGACCCCCCGGGACATGGCCCCGGCGACGGGCGGAACGCCTGCAGAAGACGGCGGAAGACGGCACCACGCGGCCCCATTTCTGCATGCGCGCTTCCGGGAGGCACGGACGGCCCCAAGATGGTCCACAAGATGGTCCAAGAAGGGTTCGAATCGCCGAAAGATCGGCCAAAGACGCCCCAGATGGGTCCAAGATGGCCCACGAGGCCGCCAATGCACCCCAAGAGGCCTCCAAGAAGCCGCCCAAGAGAGCCCCACAAGGCCAAAATCGGTCATTTTACGTAGGTTTTTGACAGATGTTTGCCTTCGCGCCATTTCGGCTTCCCGACGCTCCAGGACGGCCCAAGAGGCTTCCAAGACTGCCCCAAGACCGCCCAAGAGGCCCTCAATACGGCCCAAGAGAGGCCCAAAACGGCCCAAGAGGCGCCCAAGACGGCCCAAAAGAGCCCCAAGACGGCTCCAAGAGAGGCCCAAGAGAGGGACCACGAACCGAAAATTCAGCTTTCCGCCCTAAAAGGCCCGCAGAAGGCCCCAAGAAGCCCCCAAGAGGCCTCCGTAGCCATTTTGGCTCCAGCCATTTTGGTTCAAGCGTGGCTCGACAGCTCCGACTTTTGGGTTCGTGCTCCCCTCGCGCTTCGGCACTGGACGCGGCCGCCTGAGGCGAGCGTGGCGTGCCCCATCAACTGCCACTGCGACTATGGCATGTCTGGCATCTTGTTGGGCATATTTATAATTCCCGCCGCGGGCGTGTTCACCTTCTTTCCCGTCTTCCTGAATTGGTTCGCGTGGGAGTGGTACTTCGACCTGTGCTGGCTCTGGTTTTGCCTCGGGGTCGTCATCCTGACGTTCGGCTGCGTCTACGAGTGCTGCGTCGGTGTTCCCGACGCGAAGGCCCGGAAGGCAGAGGCGGACGTCGAGGACGGCGCCGTGAATGCCCCTGCGCCGTACATTATGATCAACAACTAGTGAGTTTTGAGCCCGAGTTCGACGCTACGCCTGTTGAGCTTGTAGACCGTTCATCATGTGTGTCCTCCACATGTTGCGATCTGCGTTGCCCCGGGTACGCTCGCACAAACTTGCTTTATGGCAGTTGGGGCGTTCAATCTTGAGACAGACTCAGGTGACATGAGTATTGCTGCAGAGCGGAGGGGGGAGGAAAAAAAAAAAAACCCAAGAGGCCTCAACAAGCGCCCCAGAGGCCCCCTAGAAGCCCCAAGAGGCCCCCAAGAGGCCCCCAAGAGGCCCAAATGAGGCCCCAAAGCTGCTCCCGAAACGCTTCAACACAGCTTCCCAGAACCCCCGAGAGGCCAACCACGATTACACAGCTTTCTTCGTCGGACGCTTTCCCTGTCCAGGAGTCTATGAGATACCTAAGGAATAGGCCACTTTGGCCATACAGTAGGCTACCCTACCAGACAGCCTACCACACAGCGCACCTTGCGAGTACGTACGTCGACAAACTCCGTCAGACGGAGTTTGGCCACGACCTCTCCCCTTGGGACCGGTCTTGGGGCGCCCTTGGTGCCTCGTTGAAACCCTACCTGGCCCTCCCTGGTTGCCTTGGGGAAACCCACGTGAGCCCCTAGAGGTCCCCAAGACGCCCACGGGTCCCCAAACCTGCCTCTCTCGCCCTGTGCCAGTAAGGCAAATTGATGTACACAGTTTTGACTCCGGCCGCTTCGCCGACGTCCACGACGACGACGACGAAAACACCAACGACGACGACGACGACAGGCGGAGTCAAAACTGTGTACATCAATCGTCGCTGGTCGTCGTCGTCTTCGTCGTCCTCGTCGTCGACGTCGTCGGCACCTGACTGTCTTGCCCTGTGGCAGCGGAGCAAATTGATGCACACAGTTTTGACTCCGGCCGCCTCGCCGACGCCACACGACGACGACGACGGCGACGACGAAGACGCCAACGACCACGACGACGACGACGACGACGACGGCCGGAGTCAAAACTGTGTACATCAATCGTCGCGGATCGTCGTCGTCTTCGTCGTCCTCGTCGGCGTCGTCTCCGGCACCTGCCTCTCTCGCCATGTGCCAGCGGGGCACATTGCTGTACACAGTTTTGTCTCTGGCCGCCTCGCCGACGTCCACGACGACGACGAGGACGAAAACGCCGACGACGACGACGACGACGACGACGACGACGACGACGACGACGACGGCCGGAGTCAAAACTGCGTACATCAATATGCCCCGCTGGCACAAGGCGAGAGAGGCAGGTGCTGGAGACGACGCCGACGAGGACGACGAAGACGACGACGATAGGTAGAGAGGGGCCCTATGATGAAGTAAGGTGGCGGAGGAAGGCGAGGAGGAGAAGGATGAGGACCAAAAGGAAGGAGGAGGAAAAGGAGGAGGAGGAGGAGCGAAGACAGGGAGTTGATTCTTCAGGCTTCCGCCACATCCGCCGACCCCTTGGATTTTCCCCGGGATCGTTCACCACAGCTTCCTTGCAAACCGTGGGAAAATGAGGTTGTTCAGGGCCCGTCACAGCGAGAAGGGGAGCCGACATGGGTCGCAAACTGGCCCAGAGGGCTTCCAGACGGCCCAAACGAACCCCAAAACGGCACAGGGAGGTTTTTTGGGTTGTGTTTGGGGCCTTGCACGGGTGCCGGAGCCAGGGAAGTATGTTACACCCCGGAGACATCTTACGGTTGTCGGCGGTTTCCAAGCGGGATGCCCCGCTAACTGTTAATGTTCGGAGATGTTTGGGCTGACCTTGTCGATGGCAATGACGTCGTTGATGATCACCACACTGATGACGATGATCGGCTCCCTCTCCTCCTCTCCTCCTCCCCTGCTCCTCCCTCCTGCTCCTCTTTCTGCCTCTCCTCCTCTTCCTTCTCCTGCCCTTCCTCCTCCTCCTCCTCCTCGTCCACGTCCTTCTTCCCTTCCCTTCCCCGCCTTCTTCTCCTCCTCCTTCTTGTCCTTCTCCTGCTGTTCCTCCTCCCGCCCTTCGTCCCTCTCCTCCTCCTCCTCCTCCTCCTCCTCCTCCTCCTCTCCTCCTCCTCCTCCT